ACTAGCACCTGGTTTTTTCGTCGATCTCATGAACAGCTGCTTGTGGCGTTCTGTTAGGAGGCCTATTTAAGTAGAGAATGCACTGAGAACAAAATAAACCACCACGGAAACGACTAAAGCAGTGCGACCTCAAAGGCTCACAGAAATCACCAACCTGGGATAAGAATCCTGGTTAACAGGGCTGAGACCCAGACTGCGGTAAATAACAGCATGAAATATGCTAGGGTAAAGAATAACCGTACCAAAGACAATTAATAATAGGACACACAGTGATGGGGTAATTAAAAACAGACATGCTCTGCGTAAAAATTTAGTGTACAGTCACAAGACGGTTCATATAATTTACAAGTTAAATGCAAGTTCAAAATCCTCCGGTTTGTGTTTGGAACACCTCAATCGTATCACGATCATTAAGATCGAGCTAGAAAATAATCTTGAAATTAAGAAAAACTAACCGATTCAGGAGTATCTTCCTGCTGTACGTGCTCGCCATCACACGTGAAACGGACATTAGACATGGTCAACCCCTGAGAAAGAAAGACGTCAAAAAAGTACTATTGCATACCAGCCGGTCACAGTAGGCTGACATAAGCTTTTTAAGGGGAGTCGTTCGCTTTATCTTGAAGTGGATGACAGACCCATCTTGTCCATGTACGGTGAGGTTGATGGGTTCATTCGACTTTTCCTAAAATAAGGGAGTGTAAGTCGACACATTTTCATGCAAATTATAAAGCGTTAAAAACAATAGAGACCTGTGGGGCGCTTGTGTCAGCCATTTTGCAAGTGACGGGTACTGAGGCAGAAAAAACCACAACCTTCTAGGGGTTGAATCAGAATTCACTGTCTGCGAAATAAATGGCTAACTTAAACAAAATAACATGAGATCAGAGATATAAATGAGTAAAGGTGATGAAGACGGACAAGTGTGGCAACTATTTGTCTGATAGTCTGAGTCTTATAAGTGTTGCAGTAATTCAATCGTCAGAGATAGTAGCAGGCGCTGTCGCTTCTAACGATAGATCCATTACAACTCAAGAGCTCAGAATAATAAACAAATCACACAGATACTCGAACAGCATTCTTCACCTATGCCCATGCAAACACCTAGATCCCAAAAATGCACACTCATTCGTAGAGTAATAAAGATATGGATATTCCGAGTCTATTATGGATATCAAGTCCAGGCCATCTGGGCTGGGATATAATTTTTAAGAAGGAT